AGTTTGTAGAGGTTTCGGTCTGTAGTTAGCAGGGGGCATCACAAAGGAGGAAACAGCCCACAGTAAAGCAGGGCAGATGGAAGGTAGTCGGCAGTGAAGTGTAAACAGTAAGCAACAGTACCAACTTCTTTTGTCCCCTTTGTATTCTATCTACACTACCCGGCTTAGGGAGAGTGCCAAGTCCATCAGTGTACTAATTTAGTAATCACACACCCTTAATCCTAGTGCCCTTGATCCCAGCATTGCACCATGAATCAATCCCAGCATCACACACTCCAGATCCAGTCATCTTTGAGAAAGCCCTGCCTATGACCATGTGAGGCTTTATTAGGGACATCTAAATACAGGCACAACTGAGACAGTATTAAGGAAACCACAGGGATGGAAACTGCTTAAAATTTTCTAGTAGAATCTGTCCTCCTGCCCCATGAACCATGACCTTCAAAAGGGAAGACAGCTGCTGCCAAACTGCAGTCCACATACAGGCAGCCCTGACCCCTCTCTGCTAGCTCCCGGAGCTCTCTCCTGATTTGGGCAGCTCCAAAGGCATGCAGATGTGCTCTGTAGGGGTCACCTTTCTGGGGGATGTAAGTGCCCCCAAAGTGGGCAGAAAGTAGACCTGGAGAAACCATCAGAGAATGACCAGCTAAATTATTACTCCCGATGAGGTGAAAATAAATGTATTAGAATGGAGAGTGGGGAGGATGTATAGTATGAAACATTCCAGAAGAATGCAACCTTCTTCTTCCAGAAATGATTAACACTGATAGCAGTAAATAAGCCTATGACAGGAGAATGGTAAATAAGCTAGCTGATTAGGAAGATCATCCACACATTTGTTCATTCATCAAACATTAAAGAGTTGTTTGCATTTCTAGGCATAAGGCATACAAAGAGGGGTTTGGCTTCTCTGTACATTTGAAAATTTTCATAATCAAATGTAAGAAACAGATCACAGAGGCACTGTCCTCAAAAATCTATTAGTCTGGCCCAGTAAGGATTCCTGGTGGAACTAAGGGAAGAGTCAGAAGTTAGGTGGGTAGGAAAATGACTTCCTGAAAGGGATAGTGAGTGAGTCTGAAGGATCGCTGGGAAATGAGCTGGTTCATGGTTTCAGGGCCAGATCTGCATTTTTACAAGATCCCTAAATCCTCAGAGCACAGGGGACACTGGTAGAGCTAAAAACAAGAACAAACAAACAAACTCTAAGAGATGAAATTAAAGAAGTATAAGTGGACAGAAAGGTAAGCACCTGACATTTGTTTCATGTCTAGGTCTGGTGTCCTGGGGTAGTGGAGTAGGTTGAGAAGAGCCTGAAGCAAGTACAGAGATGACCTTCGAGAGTTAAGGTTTATTAAGATATTGACAGGAACAAATAGGTTGGATACTTAGTAGCAGAAAATCATAGAGTGCAGGGATAACAAGCTGGACAGGACAGTTGCCAGAGGTACTCATATCCAGTGGCAGTGGGCTGGACTAGCTAATGCCACAAGGTCCTAAAGTGGACAGGAAAGGGAAATGCCAGGGAAACTTCCAAGTGTCCGGAAGCAGAAGGTTGGGCTACTCTGTACGCTGTTACTGCAGGGAGGGGGATTAACAAACTACTCCATGTTGGCGTCAGTGCTTTGCTTAGCTCTGTGGTGTGATCAGTGGCCCAAAAGAGCAGCTGAGTTAGCAGAGAGGCAGGAAGGCAGTTTCTGCAGATAACACTGGTTTGCTCAGTTCCCAGGGTCCCACAGATATTACTTATCTGGACATTCTCAGGAAGAATGAACAGGACTTGGGAACTAGATGGCTATGCTGTGTGAGAGAGGAGATGCTTTCCTGTGTTTTGCCTCCTCAACACCCCACATTGCTTTTCAGCAGACATCCCCACCCCCCACCCCACCTGTCACTGTCCTTTGAGACCCTACCCCGTTGAATGAACACAGTCTCCATGGGACTTTCATTCATCAGGTTTTTGCTTCCCTGGTCAAAAGAATAGTTACCTGACCAAGCCAGGCCAACCAGTGGCACCTGCCTGGGAAATCTTAGAACTGGCACCTAGCACTTGTCTTTGTTCTAATCCTTTTTGAAGTCCCTCCTTTCACTGTTCTCCTGTATATTCTGTATGTCACCCAAGTCCTTATTAAACAGTCTTTTTTTTTTCCCTTCAGTAAGCTACAATTATTTTCTACCATTTGCTACCAGAAACCTTCAACTAATTCCTGTAGCCACACGAGTGGCAGCATTTCATACAGAGAGACACAAAAATATGCAGAGGAGAAAGTGCGAGGTGGGCTTTCTTGGGGAGGGTAGTTTGGTTTTGAGAAACCAATGCAAAAGGAAAGAAGAAAATCTAAAAGTTGGCTGAAGAGACTTTTGTGGAACTCTGAAAATCATATCGCAGAGTGCAAATATCCTTGGCACGTAGACATAGAAAGTTCTACCCAGCAGCCTGACCTCCTAAGGACTTAACCAGACTTCTCCAGGGAGGTTGATTCTTCCAGGAGGAGACTGACACATTCTGAAGATGCCCCAGAATCAGGCTTCATTCCCTGCCCTGGGAGTCCTGGGTCCTGGCTCTAGATTTCTCACTAATTAGCTAAATGACCTGTGCAAATGTCTATCTTGCTCTGAAACTCTGTTTGATTATTAATAAAATATAGTTATTTTATTATATTTGAGGTTATTATATTATTGAATTATATTTGAGGTTCTCAAACTATGTTCCAAGAGAATTTTAAGATAACATGAAAAGGGGTCAGATATACTGGGAAACTGGATCTAACAAACCCTAACAGGTTTCCTTATTCCAGGATGTTTCAGGGCTTTAAATACGCTGTGGTGCAAATCTCCAGGACAGCACAAAGTGACCAGCACTTTCATTTTTTCCCAGGAATCTTTTTAACTCCACCTCCTAGCATGAAGAAATATGTGGAGCCAGTGGTCGTCCGAAGGCACCTGTAGAAGTGTCGGATTAGGTGAGTTCCAGGCTACCCAAATGGTGGGGAGTCCCTGTGCCCACGTGCTCTGTGCCTCTCTTTCCAGCTTGTGCTTCCCTTAAGGTGATTGGCTCCCAAGGAGCCCTGTGATCTGCTTTAAGGGGCTCTCCCAGGAAACAGCACATTTGAGCACTTACGAAGTCACTTAAAGATCTCCTCTGGCTCATGAAACCCTCCTGCAGCTTAAATGAAAAACACAGCCCCCCACCGCGCTCAGAGCACAGATCCAGGCCCAGCCTAAAGGGATTGCAAAACATACTCTAGCTTGCATTCATTTGGGAAAACAAAGAAAACTCCCCTCTCTTCTGCTCCAGACAGTCTGAGACACTTTTGTTCCCTTGGGCCCGTGCCCAGCTCTCTCATCTGCATCAGTCCTGGTACTAAATTGGTTCAAGGCTTGAAGGAAAGCTTCAGAGGAAAGAGGGAAAGGGATGTTTAGAGTTCTTAAAGGCTGAAGTCACCCTGAAGATCAGAGTTTAGTCCCCCTCTGGCCACGAGAGGGCGATGACAACAGCATCCGGGCAGAAAGCTGCACCCAAACTAACAGCAGTAAACTACACCTACTGCGTTTAGGAACAATGCGGGGGCTGGGGCATGACTTTGGGCATGCATGTGGGTCTGCCCGTTTATGGACCTGGACCTAAGACTTTGTAAACCTAAGTATAATAAAATGAAATCTGCACCTCTACAGGTTACAGGATGTAGTCAAGTAGCTAGATCAAAGTTTCTTGAAGGAAAATGAGGATGAAGGAATCAGAATAGCATTCATAGAAAAGGAAAAGAAAGGTGTTCTCAAAAGCACAGTTGTGTGTCAGTGTGCGTGTGAGCATGCATGTGCACACGTGTACATGTTATTGTGTCCGTGTGTGTGAAGGTGTGTAGGTTATGGGTGTAGGCATGAATGTGTGTGTGGACATGTATATACCAGGGGCTCCTTCAGACTTTCCTATTGGGAGCAGATCTCAAGGAATTCTGGGCAATACTTCTTCCAGTTTCTGCCCGTTCCTTTCAAACAAACAAACACATTCCTACAAGTATTTATGGAGCCTCTGATGCACCCCTCCCAAACGGCATCTGGAAAAGCTCAGACCCGGGCAATTTAGAGCCAACAGCATGGCACTGGAGAACCAAGGGAGGCTGGGGAGAAAGGATAATGCCGGGAACAAGAATGACCGTCTGCAGAGACTCTCCCTCCTCTGCTGCTCCAAGCGGCTCTGCGAAGTGGATCCAGACAGCGCTGTCCTCCCTTGTTTTAAGGAACCAAAGGCTCAGAAGTGACAGGATTGGCCCGGCAGGGCATCACCAGACAGGAAGCAGATGTTCAAGGAATCTGACAAGGTGCTGTCAGTCCACAGCCAAGTCCTGGACGTCACTATGTTCAGCAATACCCTGGGCACTGGGTCTTGCAAACAGGCTAATCTTTCTCCGGTGGGTGGGATTGTCCATGTCGCCAACACACAGAACTTCTAGTGACACGTGTGACTGTGGGGTGCAGTAGTGTCCACAAGTTTTCTAGGAAGCAACTGTAGGTCAATGCCTGACTACTAAACAGGGTAGGGACAAAGCTGCCATGTGTCAGAACGCAGGAGGTCAGCATCCCCAGTAGCTGCGTGAGTTCAGAGAAGTCACTCCTTCTCGGAGGTTTGGGGTGTTATCTATAAAATTAGGGTAGTTAGACTCTCTTTGGGGTCCGTGTTGGGACTGAGCTCCAGTCCATCGTTAAAATATGTACTTTTTAAAGTGCCAGAAGCTTTACCAGTCCCTCACTCCTAGAAGACAGTGAGCATCCACGTGTCCTTCCCGGACCCTGCTGGGGACCCCTTTCCCTCCTTGGTTCCTTCCCTCCCGCTCCTTTCCTGCCTCCTCCCTCGGCTCTCGGTCGCTCCAGCAAAGTTCTCAACTTAGTCTACATGACGCACGGCGCAGCCAATGAGAGGCGAAGCTGGCGTTTTTTGGGGGCGGGAAGGGTGGGCCCCGCGTCTCGGGTGTCTGCCCTGCTCCGTGAATGGAGAGAGCGAGCGCAGGCCAGCTCGCCCGGCCGCCCCCTGCCCCAGGCGCCGCCGCCGTGCTCTGGAGCCCAGCCCCACGCCCGACCTCCCCGGGCGGCGCGCCCCACTGCCCTCGACCCAGGTCCCCTCCCCGGCCCACACCCCGGGCGGCTGGCCAGCGGGACCAGGGGGCGCTCGGCACCTGGGCACTCCAAGCGATGCGCAGCGGGGCAGCTCCAGCCCCGCCGATGGAGCTGCTGCCGCTGCCGCTGCCGCTGCCGCCACCGCCCGGCGCGCCCTGCTCCGCCCGCGCCCCGTGCGCCTGAGCGCCGAGCTTGCCCCTCCTCCGCGCCAACTCCGCCGCGCGTTCCCCAGGCCGCCCGCGCTCCCCGCGTGCCTCCCGGGCTCCACGCGCCTCGCCCCGCCGAGGCAGCCTCCCCAGGGCAAGGGCCCCTGCACAGCATGGCCCCTGGGCGGACAGGGGCCGGCGCCGCCGTGCGCTCTCGCCTGGCGCTGGCCTTGACGCTCGTGAGCGTCCTGAGCGGGCCCCCGGCCGCCGCCTGCCCCACCAAGTGTACCTGCTCCGCCGCCAGCGTGGACTGCCACGGGCTGGGCCTGCGAGCCGTTCCCCGGGGCATCCCCCGCAACGCCGAGCGCCTGTGAGTACCCCTGGCCCGCCCCTCGGGGCCACCCACCTGGGTCCCACAGAGGGGCCCTTGGTCGCCAGATCCTTCCTCTCCCCTCCGTGGCGCTGGATGCGACCTCTGTACTCACTCCCTCTTAGGTCAGATCCCTCCTTCTCTAAGTTGGGGGGGGTGCTTTGGGCAGGTGTGGAGAGAGACATCCCCAAGCCCCCGTGATGGGTCAGGAGCAGTACCTTGGGGGCACAGGGTCCAGACGAAGGGCCCTCTGACAGCTTCCCGGGAGAAGCTGGCCATTGGCGAGAGGAGGAGAGCCCTGGACCCTGGAGGTCTTGGGGTCTGCGTGAGAGGTCCGCGCTCACGAGGAGATGTGGGGTTGGGGGTAGGGGCTGCAAGGTGAGGTTGACAGGCATCCGGTGTGTTGGAAACGGGAGAGAGGGCCCTAAGACCTGACCGCCTTGGAGATCAAAATGGGCCAGCGGCTCTGACTGCCCTTGCAAGCAAAGTTGAAAGTGTGTGAAGGTCTAACTTCTGAGAGGAACAGGACGAATTTGGAGTGGGTGCTTGCAAAACCCGCCCCGCCTGGAGCGCAGCCTCGGTGATGCCAAGTTGCAGCCCTGGTGAATTTTTTATGGCTGGGTTATAAATGCCTCCCCAAAGGGCTGGAGAATGGAAACGCTGACAGCCATTTAAATGAGACCTAGCGCTATAATCTTACAAACCGCACTCAGCCTCCAATCCCGAGCTTGGCAGAAAGTGGAGAGGCTTTTGGAGAGCGGGGTGAATTGACCCTCATTTTAACCCCAATTGTGCAACCAAATATTTACTTTTCATATGTCAACGTTTTGGAAACATTTATCATTTTGATCCTCAGACCAAATTCAAAACTTGGGCTCTGGGGTGGGCTCCTTGTAGCCCACAGTTGGGGGCAGGGTAAGGAAGGAAAGAGAAATGATGGAAGGAGTGGGAGCCCTCCTGGAACCCAGGCGAGGAATGAGGGAGGCTTTGCTGCAGACTGAGAGACACCCTGCAAGTCTTGGCCCCTGTCTTCCCCTCCCTGCGCATGTGTGCATGTGCGGATGGGGGGTACTTGGATCTCCCCTTCTGCCTTTTGAAGGGACTGGAAGAGAGAGGTAGTGAGGCCGTGAGGTGAAGGGCCCTGGAGTGCTGATTCCTGTCACCTCTCAATCACTTCACCTCCTCTTCCACTTACTTTTTGTGTCTGAGCAGCAGCTCAGTAGAAATCCCTGCCAAACTCCTGGTACTTTCTTTTGGTTCCAAAAACAATTTTTTTTTTTTTAAAGTTTTGTTATTTTGGGTTGAGGCACACCATCAGAGGTGGTGAGAGTTCAGTCTTCATTGACACATGCAGAGGATCAGGCTGGGAAATGACTTGCCCAAGGGAACATTGCAAGTTGGGTATGATTAAAGAGCCAGTATCCAGATTCCCACACCTTCATTCAGACATTATATTAGATCATTTCAGTGAAAAGCCCCTTTTAGTGGTATTTTTAGATACATATAAGCTAAGTGCCCTTCCTCCCTACACCAGTCCTGGCTGCATGAGTTAGTAAAATAATAACGTAGCTAATGTTTAATAAATGCCTCTCCTGTTTTGATCTGTGTCCATGTGTTATCTCCTTAAATTTCTGCAGAGTCCTGTAAGCTACATGGATAAGTGCTTACTACCACATGTTACATTTAAGCCACCTTGTCACGGATTCAAGGTCATGCAGCTAGTTAAGTGCTTGACTCCAAGCCTGCCTGACTTCTAAGCCCACACCCCTTACCACGCTGCTGGCTCCTTAGAACGAGGGCCAGTTTGGGCCACAATCTATAAACAGACCATTCTGGGAGGGTTCACATTGGGCTTGGGTCTTAGCAGAGGCCGCTATCCCCACGGCTTTGGGTGTTCCCTGCAAACATTCAGCTTGCTTTGACATGGGCTTTGTGGCTTGGGTTTTGAGACTGCTCTTTGCCCATCTTGAAATCGAGTCACATTTTTAGGAAGCCCAGGAGGATGGGCCACTCTAGTCCTGGAGACTTTGTGTTTTCAAAAGCCGCAGGCAAGATACTACATGGGAATGTGCCACCTGGCCAACCTCCGAAAGACTCAGGCAATTCAGGGCAGCCCATCTGCTCCACAGCTGGGGAAACTGGGTGGAGAATGAGCTTCTGGACATTCCCAAGGGCCACCTGCTGCAGGCATGGTCACTGACAGGGATCAGTAGAGTAGAAGCAGCTTTGAAATATCTGTATCCCGCCTGGCTCCATTCTGCTCACTGGTGACACTGGCTAAGGTGCATGGCAGTCATGGGGCTGCCAAGGAGGGCCTCGCCCCTGGTCTTCCTGCCTGCCTGTGAGTGGGCAGCAGCCTTTAGGGGTCAGATGGGTTGGTTCACCACAGGATATAAGGGCATCTCAACAGCAGTCTCTCAGTATCCCTCAGGCCCTCGCAGTGAACTCGGAGCGTTTCAGTTCTGCACACTCTTGGGGGATATTTGGCATTTCTACGCTATGCTGAGGATTTCTTCAGGGACATGTTGCTCATTCATTCCTCTGTTCATTCATTCAGCAAATATTGCTTGGGCTCTTCTCCTTTCCGTTACTGCATGTAAAATCATTGCATATACAGAAGCAAAACACCTCAACTTATGGCAATCAATGAGGGCACAAGCACCGCTCCTTTGATGAGCCTTTTAAATTTCCTAGGGATCATTTTGGCCTGGGCACCAATTTATCAGCATAGCTGGGAGATCCTCAGGACCTTCTAAGAATCCAGTGTTTTAAGCTCAGATGTTGCATTTGTCTTTAAAAACCATCAAGAGGTATTTTCTCCATTCTGTATTTCTGCTACTCTGCCTACAAAAAACAGCCTGTTGTGAAGGAAAGTGTATATTTGCTGTGTGCATGCCTGTGTCTGTGTGTGCGTGGTGGTTTCCCTAGGTGCTTGTTACTTCAGAAACCTCATGACATGACAGTAAGGACGACTTGAGTGAGAATAATGTGGTCCCCATTTGGATTTAGCTGCAGGCCAGGAATGTGCTATCTGTGTTGGGGGTCTGTGTTCTCAGTTCTTCCCCACAGTGTCAGTGTATTACCCAGAAAAAGCGCTCTGCCTTTTTATAAACTACTGACAACTTTTTTTCCTCCTCGATATGGAGGTGACACCCACAAGAAAGCTAAATAAACGGAGAGGAGACTTCAGTGTCATTTGTTACCCATGCAGCAAAGATAGAGGCTCCGAGAGGAAAGGAAGTGAATGTTGGTGCCCGAAACAAAACATTTACCATGGAGCACAGAGTAAACAGATGTTGCCTTTACCCTTCTGAGTACAAAAGGAACCCACAGATGTAATTCTTTTCCAACCACAATTGCAGCCTGGAAAAAGACAGAAGATGAAATAAACTCTCATGCGGGGCGTCTTCTCCCCGCAGTGCCCGGAGGCAGAGAGAGGCCCGCTTCGCACCCGCGGTGAGGTGGTGGCCTGCACAGTGGAGTGAGGGCAAGAGTGGACATCTTTGGTTTTTCACTTGGCTCCAGAGCACGCTGGAGACTGCTGTATTTAAATAAACATTTCCTGTTTGTGAAGGAAAGCGGGCGAGAGGCTGAAACGTGAGAATGTGGTAACTTAATTTTCTCCATCACTCCAGATGACGGCAAGCTTTGCCGGTGGTTGGGTCCAATAAAAACGACACTGTGTCGTAGGCTTTCCCTCACTTGACCACAGAGGTCCCAAGGTCAAGTGGGAGACTTTCCAAGATTCTCCACAGCCGGGCTCTGCATTCTGATACTCCTAGCCTTCAGGGCCAGCTCAGAGCACCAGGGGCAAGCCGGTGAATCAGGACCTCTCTGGGCCAGCCATGGTAAGGTGGCCCTTCAGGGAAGGTAGTGATTTTTTGGATTGCTTAAGGAGCAGTGGACCGTACCTGCCTTGAGGGTGCTGTGAAACTCTGAACAGACTGCTCCTTGCGGAGCTTCATTTCCCTGAAATTAGAATCCAGGCATCGTCTTACTGGTTTTCCATGTATAAGCTATAGTTCACTGGCGAACTGTCACAACTCGCTTCCTCAGTGCCCCAATCGGCATCCCAGTACCCGACAGTTGGTGAGTTTTCAACAAATACATGTTTAGTGAAAGACTAATGAGCTTCAAAAGTACAATCAGTTTTTTGTTTTTTTGTTTTTTTTTTTTTTTCCCCTTTTTTCCAGGGGAAAGTTGGGCAATTGCAGATTTACATTTTGATGGATGGCTAGGGGCAATTTACCAGTAATCTATTACATGAGATATTAAGGTCATCTAAAGTGTTAGATTTCCATGAACTAAAATTATTGCCTTACTAGAGTTACCCAAGACTCCTACTGAGTGATCCACTCTGCAGTCTGGTTGCCAGGTGTTGCTTAGCAACCTTGCAAAACTCCTACTGTGCACATGCTCACGAAAAGAGCCAGCAATCCTGAACACTTAAACCATAGGACTTTCTAATCAGAAACTCATCAGCATCATCCTGAGCTCTCTGTGGCTTTTGATTGCTTCTCTTCTTGTATTAATTGATATGTATTTGTAGGATCATTACTGAGTTTTGCTTTTGCCAATCATCTGGGATTTTTATTTCTGCTTTTTTTGTTGTTGTTGTTATTGCCCTTTCTACTCTTTCTCTGCTACTCTCCAGCTCTCTGTGTTTATTATCAATGGGTTCTTCTTCCAACCCTAGAAATAAATATAAAAGGTGGGTTTGGTCTGTGGAATGGTTTTCCTTGACTGTATGAGAACTACCAGGATCTAGGGTTCAATACATTGGGTTTTGCTCCGAGTTAAAGAGACAGATAGCTTTGTGTTTGAATTCACCACTGTTACATCCCTGCAGTTCCACCCTGGGTGTATTACTCCCTTTCTCCACACTGCAGAGGCTTTCGTCATTTGGTACCTCATTTCCACAATTGTAACGTGGGCATGAGCATTGTACGGTGATGCCAGAGAAGCCCAAGGCAGTCCGCGTAATGTGCTTCCAGGGCACC